TCGAGCACACCTGATAGTATTACATGTTTTTAGTAAACTCGTATAAAGTTATCAAGTTCTGAAGTTTTTTTTTTAAAGATTGATGCTTCTCATTAGCTACCTTTAAGCCCCAAATAAATCACTACTAAGAATAATTTACCTATTTCTCTCACTTTTTACGCTAGCAGTTGGCACTTCAAACAAACAGTTTGGGCAATAATAACAAACTATTTCTTCCTGTACACATCTCGGACAACGTATTTGGTGGCAATCATCACAAAAATATAATTTTGATATAGGGAAAGTAGAAAACTGAACGCGAGGAGAGTTAACGTCAAAGTCGGGAATAGACTCTACGATATCTTCCTCTTCCTCTTCTTCCGTATTATTAGATATGGACACATCAGGGCAGGGACAATAGTAATGCACATACGAACGTTGCCTCGCATCAATTTGTTGCGACATTTCGACAATGATAAAACTCTTCTTTTCGCATATGGGTCAATTTTTGCGATTTACGTGACATAAAAATGTTAATAAAAATGCAGAAATGTGATATTCACATGGTTACACTAATCCGATAATCATAACATATGGGACATAAAAATGTTAATAAAAATGCAGAAATGTGATATTCACATGGTTACACTAATCCGATAATCATAATACGACAGGGTGAAACCCGCAACCTGTCAAAATAAAAAGCTGCACCAAAACTTTGAACGAAGATATCTTGACAACCACCTTATCAAATTCGATAAATTTTTTTTTATTAGAATTCTATAGATCTATAGAATTTAAATAAAAAAATTTCATCAAATTTAATTAGGTGGTTGTCAAGATATCTTCACTCAAAGTTTTTAAAAAAAGCAAACCATTTATTAAAATAAAAGCTATGTCTTGACAATATCTAATCAAATTTAATAAAAATTTTTTATTTTAATTCTATGGATTCATAAAATTAAAATAAAAAAATTTTATTGAATTTGATTAGATAGTTGCCAAGATATCTTTAATCAAAGTCTTTAAAGAAATTTCTTTTTTTTTTATATTAAAGGTGAGACCTTGTTTTTATCTTTATTAGATTTAACAAAAACCTTTTACATATCCGGAAAATATTTTATTACTTAAATTTAAGACTAAGAAAAAAAAACTCAGATATATATCTAAGTAAATCTAAATACTTATTTGCAGCCTAAACCTATCAGAGTAGTTAAAGCTTATCTAGATTTGAGGATAGATAAGAATATGGAAGAGGTGAGAAAAAAATTTGTGTACCAAATTTTTACTTTATAAAAAGAGTTAAATGCAATAAAGTTGAAGGTGTTAATAGATAGAGAGATAGAACTATAACTAGATAAGATATTATCAATAGAGATGGTATTAATACTATTATTTAAAGTGGGGTTAGACTGTGATCTTGAGATACAGTAAGGAATCCAGATGTTAGAATAGATTTGTTGGTTTAAGAGTAGGGTGTATGTAAATCAATTTTCATATGATCTACATGATATATTGAATTTTTACATAGTAAACAAAAAAGTGCTTCTAATAAAACTTTTCAATACCTTAACCAATTTGTATCAAA